CCCCGCCCCCCGCCAACACGCCCCCCCCCCCCCAGCGATGGGGGGCACGCATCAGAACTAGGGGAGCCGGAGAAATAAGCTCCACTCTTGGCCTGCAACCCCCGCAGCCCGCGTTTAAGGGAAGGCATGGAGCGCTACACTTGTGAAATACCACAAGCGTCCCAGTCCCTGCTTGAGCCTCGCTCTCCAGTCTCGCTGTAGGAAGATCCCACAGTGGCTTTTTCAAAACGAATGGCGTGATGGGCTTATTAAAAGCCCTCGAGTGTCCCAGGGGTGCTGGCACAATTTCTGGGGGTGTTATCGAACCTGCGAACCCTGAAGACCATGCAAACCGCTTTGGGTGGGGGGCGGTAGCACCCCTAGTTCCGGCACTTCTAGCCAGACCCTGCGGCCCCTGCAAGTGTTACTGTGAACTTCAGTGAGCGCGTGAGCGAGCTCGGTATTTTATTCATCGGAGCTCCACGGGTTGGTTTCCCTTTTTATTTGCCAATTTCTTTTCTCGAGGTAGGGTTTACCGAGGCTGCATCCATCACTTGATCCATGGGAGGTTTCCCCTAAGCAAGGGCTGCAGAATCTGGCCAGTGGCTGCAGAAATAATTTATGAACCAATCCTGTGAAAATGTAGGCAGGTGTTTGAACTTTTAAACACGTGAATTATCCCACTGAAAGGGGGGGGGAGGAAGAGGGTTCAAGGGAATAACCCTGGGGTTTTTAAACAAAATGTAGCTTGGAGGTGCGGATAGACGTGATGCTTGGATTTTGGACTGGCAGTGAAAGTTCCGCTGTTACTCCACACTGAAGAGCACCGATGAAATGATTCCCTCTTTCGAAGTAGATTAAACCGTTTATATGCAGTGTAGGTGTTTCTGCAACCGCTTAGGAGCCAAAACAATGCAAAGGGAGCTGATAACGTGGCCTCACAAAGGCTTTTGCTCTGAGTGAAAGTGTTTGCCTTGAAACTCTAAAGACTTAACATGCACTTGACTAAGGCTGTGTCTAGACTGCAGAGTTTTTTCGAAAAAAGTAGCCTTTTTTCGAAAACTTCACCTGCGTCTAGACTACAGTTGTGTTCTTTCGAAATTAAATCGAAAGAACAAGGCTTTTCTTTCGACAGCGGTACTCCTCATTTCACAAGGAATAACGCCTTTTTTCGATAGTGCTCTTTTGAAAAAAGGCACTATGTAATGCAAACTATGCTTTTTCGAAAAAGAGCATCCAGACTGCCTGGGTGATCTCTTTCGAAAAAGCAGCTTGCTTTTTCGAAAGTACTGATTGTAGTCTAGATGCTCTTTTTCTAAAGAAGCTTTTTTTGAAAGTATCTTTTGAAAAAGCCTCTTTCAAAAGCCTAAGGGTACATCTACACTTCACTGCTCTTTCGATATTCTGAAATAGCACATCTACACTTCAGGGAAGCCTCAAAATTAGTCTGAGGCTGGCTTCCCTAATGTAGCTGTGCTATCTCGATTTAGAGCCTCAGGAGTCACTGGAGAGGAATAACTTAGAATAGTCCTGGTGAGGGGCTATTTCAAAATAGCAGCAGTGGAATGTCTACACATGCCTTATTTCAAAATAGCTATTTTGGAATAGGCGTTATTCCTCATTGAACGAGGTTTACAGATTTTGGAATAAGCTGTCTGTTATTTCAAAATTATTTCAGAATAACGGAATGGCTGTGTAGACGCTCACATTGTTCTTTCAAAATAATGCTAGTTATCTTGAAATAACGGTGCAGTGTGGACGTATGCTTAGTTGCCCCAAAATACAAAAAAAATGAGAACTACTGCAATGCGCTGTATTTGAGCTCTGATTCAAAGTCGATGGAAGATGACCGAGAGGATTCCAGACTTCAGGGGGTGAGGTTTGGGTCAGGACCTGAAAGAGGAAATAATCGGGGTTCGATGGAGCCACTAACAGGCCAGCTGATTTGGCCACAGTGCTCTGGGTGAGGCTGGAATGTTTGCACAACCATGGCTTGATTTTAATTTAATTTTGGTGCTAGGGCCCTTAAAACGAATACACATCCCAACTACTGCAACTCTGTAGTTTAGCGTCTGATGGCACAGACAGACCAGTCTGACTTTAGTTCTTAAGATTTATTGTGTAAATGGAAACCCTCGGTGGAAATGCATTGTGTAGTTCCATGTAGGAATGTGTTGTATGTGCATTCATATGTTGGAGGAAGCGGTGGGGAAGGGCTGAGCCTGTCCCCATTGGAGCCTATTGGGAGCGTTGCCACTGATTTCAATGGAAGCGGGACCTAGCCCTAGAAAATTAGTGTGAAGTGCAGCTCTGCAGCTGCTCCATGCACAGACCTTTCATTGACTTCAGTGACAGTTCTACATGCAGAGTGACTGAACGAGGGGGAAGAGGGAGGGCAGAAGAATATAACTTGCACTGACGCGTGCTCTGACTCCCCTTCCTCCCCAGGAGAAACAATGGGGAAGCTGACATTAAAATACTTATTAGAAGAAACACTGAAAGATAGATCACATGAAAACATGTGTGTTCAGCACCCTCCTTCCCCTCTTATCACATTTAACGTTGTCACTAAACTGTAGATCATCAAAGCAATCTTCATTATGGCTCTTGGAGTCACTAAGCATTTACATTATGAATTGATAGTATTCTGATGCAATTGAGTTAAGCTTTTGTGGTGATGCCTAGTCCTCATGAATACTTCCCTATCAGATGGTCTTCAGCTGCTGCCTTCACAAAACTTGGTACAGTGTCTTTGCCTGTTGAATGTATTCCATTTCTTTGCCCAGCTGGGTTCCCAACTGCCAGCTAGTCTCTCTGAACTAATGTAAATTTATGGTATCATATATTTTTCTATCTTCCAAGTACCATTTGCTTTCACTGACTTCACTGGAAGTTCTCAACATCTAGCAGAGTTGGGGCCCCACCTGCCAATCCTATATTGAAAGGCTTCAAAATATACTGTAAATAGTGGCAGTGCATCATTTACAACCAATGTAATTTTTTTATAGTGGATATATTCAGTGGGCAATATATTTGTATGTTAAGTCAGATTAATTTTCCTAGCTTCAAATAAAATATAGTATTAAAACCGGGAATCTGAACTCAATAGTCCGGAGGTGAAAATGCTTTTCTAGAATAAATTTTTGATTATCTCCAAAAATTATTAGATGCTTTTTCTAGGGACTGCTGAGGATTACGCTTTTATTTTCTACCTTATTTTAAAACGATATTTAAGCTGAGATTTCAAAGTAATGCCAAGGATTAATTTAGAGACTTAACAGAAGAAAATCATATTGTAGAATTACTATTGGTTGGATAATATAAATCTGCTTCCTGTTCATACAAGTTTATACTGTTGTTGTAAATGAGTTAATGTCAGTGAAGTTGCTCCTGATTTACACCAGCCAAAGTGCAATTGCAACCCAACCTTCTGTCTCTAAGACAATGTTTGCAACTTTTTTTTTCATTAGTGGTCTCTTAAAAAAATGTAAAATGGGTGTGCAAATCCCTTTGGAAATCTTAGACATAATCTGAAGATCCTGAAGGGTATGCAGACCACGGGTTGAAATTGTGTGTACTAAAGCACTTTTATGATTGCAACTAGTTCTGCTTTGTGTGGTATATATCTGCGATGTAAACACTGTAGAATTTTCAGAGATGTTTAATTGGGACCATATATATTAGCTGGTAAGGTAGGTGTAGAGAAATGAAAGTGCAATGTGCAAAAATCTGTTGTTCCAAGAATTAACGTCTATTTGTTAGCTTACCATAACACAAACCTATGTCATCTATGTTGTGAT